AGACACATGTCCAACTGCTCAAGATAAAGAAGCGTTACAGTGGCATATCTTGCATCACCTTTCCACATCACGTCTGCTGAGCAAATAAACTTCTGTATCAGACCACACAGCGTCCTTCCGTGTCTCAGCAACTCTTGATGACACAGCATCATACCCTGAAAGCAGCTTCTCTTTCTCACCTTCCATCTCACAGAGGAAAATACTTGAGCAATACACAAGGCACACACTAGCTCTGATATATACAGACATACCCTAGTCTCAGATATATACGTATGTTATTTTACAGTTGTGACCTCTTCACAAAGGCATTTATGATTATTCCCTCTTTAAAAACTTTTCCACATTTTACTTGCATTGATATTCACTGCTGTTTTAATAAACAGTGTTGAGGAACAGGGAAAGGGGAGAAAAAAAAAAATCACTGAAACTTTGGACATGGGAATATTTAACCTGGTGAGACAACTAGAATCTATTATGAAAAAAGGTGTTAAACAGCTCCTGTTAAACTCCTTAATGATGAGCTGCATTTTCATTTTACACACAGAATTATACATTCTTAATAAGTTGCACAGACATTTTTCACTACGGGTTACTAATAAATGCTAAGGTGCTCATTGAAACAAAGGCTGTAGCAGGTCAGTAGTCACAGAGAGGGAAAGAAGCAAAAATCCAAACCATTCAGCTTCCTCTCATACCAAGCACAACTTCCTTTTCGGGGCATTCAGCACTTCTGTCCAGTTCTCCTCTGCTCAGACTCCTCAGACACAGTCTGTCACTTCATCATATTACCATGCTTTCATCACACAACTCTTGTCTGAAACCAAACACACGTGGCCACACCATTTCACATCCTATATCTGAATGCTGCTGGAGTGTGTTCAGCAACATCTCTGTTTAGAGCCTTCCTTCCTGCGTGACTCACTGCTGCTCTGACAGCCACGATGGCAACCTCAGCAGAATCACAGGCAGCCCACAGCTCCCAACGACAACAGACTGCACACATTGGCATCGCAGCACATTCAGCCAGCACCCCAACGAGGCTCCAAACATCAGTGGCACTGTGTCTGTTAGTGGCATCACTATCACCAGCAAGAAGAATTTGTTGTGCTGCTGTTTGACTTTGAAACAGCTCCAAACAGAAAGCCATATCAGCCTCACGTTTTCATTCTGGCATGCAGGAATCTGTGGGAATGATCTGCCAAACAAGGCCAGCAAATTGAATGATTCCAGCTCATACTAACACCTTCCAGCAAATCTATCGACTACGACTGCTGAGAATACATTGCTTGATTCTTGGGTTACTGCATCACCACACAAATGCATGAAGCTGTCATCACTCCAAACCTGAGTTTTACACATGGACTTATTTCACATAAATACATAGAGTATCCTTACTGCATGCACACTTTAAACACACACACGGTGCTACTAAGCTTTGAGACAACAGACACAAGAGTGCTGAAGTTCATACAAGAACTGTAACATAACCATCAATTGCATTTCAACTTCTAAACTCTCTGGTCAACTTGTAAGGCTGATAGATAAAGGCTGAAGTGAGAATTTGGTCAACAAAAAGTACCCAGAACAAAAAGCACTTGGTTTATGAAATCAGACTAGGGTGCAGCTGGTTAGTGACACTGCTGCACTGCATCAGTAACTCCGACCAGACAGCACTGAGCAGCCACGTGGAGTTTGGTCTGAACAGACAGACATCAGCTGCTTTCCTTGCTACAATACTTTGTGTCCTTATGCACACCCAAGATCTATCCCTTTATTTTTTGTAACTTACCTCACAGATTAGTACAGGTCACACAGTCAATTTATCACCTGCTTTTTCAAACCAGGAATCTACTTAACTTTCCAGATCCACACGCACACAACCAGCCCTACCTCAAGGTTGCAAGTATCTTCAGATGCACCATAATATGGCACACACTTCCACAGAGCATTAGCTCTGGAAATATCCTTTGTGAGATGGCTGGAAGATGTCTGTGTAACAGCTAAGCTTTATAAAGATCCTGGAAAGTTATCTACAATCCATTCCACAAAGTCAAGTACGTGCACATTTGGGTTCTTACTGATGCAGATGTATTTTAACACTAAGAGATTTGCTCTTAGGGACTCCCTGATTTCTGTAAACTGCAGAGTTGGAAACCTGTGATAGCTCCTCAGTGAGGACTTCAACCAACAGATATTCAGCTTTCATAACAGTAAATGAGCAATACAGACTAGCTCTTTTGTCACTGAAGTAAACCACTTGCCAAATACTCCTTGACAAATAATGCCACAACACCTTACAGTGCTACCATCTACCAGCCACTGATCCAAACCCTCTACTATAAGTTTACCCTCCTCCAGTATTTGTAAAGTAAACAATAAATTTTATTTTGAGCACATGCCTGCATTTAGGCAACCATGCAAAAGGGAAGCTCTCCACAGCACCAGCTCTTCTTCACAAGAAGAGATGCATAAAGAGCCCTGTGTCTCACAAACAGCTTTTCCTTTCCTCACACCTGAGTTGTGAACAAATAACGTAGCCAGTGGTTTAATAACAACTTTAAAATTATGGTCTCAAACATGAAATAGTAATCCTTACTGCATTGTTATATTGAGAAATGAAAAACCCAACAGTGCTTCCCTCAGAATTTCTCAAAGCTCTGTTACTTACCAATTACCTGTAGAAATTCTGTGTTGCTGATCTGGGAGTCACTGATGCTAAAGGTCTCTTCTTGTCTTACCTCTCCTAGCAGAAACCCTTCCTGCAATTTCAAGGGAAACAAACAAAAGACTAAAAATAGGAAAAAAAAAACACCCACAACATACAGCAATTTCTTGTAACTTTCTTAGTATTAAATGGAAGGCTAAATACAAAGCTATTGCTTGACATAAGCACGTGGGCTGTTGCAGGTATAACCTTACATTAATCAGGGTTGATACTCTAATAATAACACTGTAGTAATGAGCCACCCCATTACAACACGGGGATTTCATGACCAAAAACACTCATTTTAGTGAAGTGAATGCATCCTCCCTGGAAGCATTCAAGACAGGCTGGATGGGGCTGAGAGCAACCTGGTTTAGAGACAGGTGTCCCTGCCTATAGAATCACAGAATGGCCTGGGTTGCAAAGGAGCACAGTGCTCATCCAGTTCCAACCCTCTGCTGTGTGCAGGTCACCAACCAGCAGCCCAGGCTGCCCAGAGCCACATCCAGCCTGGCCTTGAATGCCTGCAGGGATGGGGCATCCACAGCCTCCTTGGGCAACCTGATCAAGTGCCTCACCACCCTCTGGGTGAAAAACTTTCTCCTAATATCCAACCTAAACCTCCCCTGTCCAGTTTAAAACCATCCCCCCTTGTCCTATCACTGTCCACCCTTATTCTCCTTCCTGTTTATACACTCCCTTCAACTACTGGAAGGCCACAATGAGGTCTCTCCAGAGTCTTCTCTTCTCCAAGCTAAACAAAGCCCAGTTCCCTCAACCTTTCCTATAGGAGGGGGTTGGAGCTAGAGGATCTTAAAGGTCCTTTCCAAAACCATTTTATGAGTCCATGATTCCCTAAGCAGTACTGCACTCCTGCAAGGAAAGCACACACTTCATAGAAAGGCACTGCCTCCTGTCTCAGCCCCACGGGCACATAGCAGGCAGGGAGCAGCCCTAAGAACACCACAGGCGGTCCAGAAAGCACAGTTCTCATCTACAGAGACTGGAACAGAGGGATTTGGGAACACCGCTCCTGGGCTCTGATAAACACCGCTGTGCCCGCAGCCCCCACGCACGACGCCCACCGAGCAGCCCCATACCCACCCGGACTCCCCCCACCCCTCAGCCGGGCCGCAGCGGCCGCTCAACGCGCCCCGCTGGCGAAGGGCCGCTATTCAGAGCCCAGCGAGGGCCGCTGCCTCCGGCCGTTACCCCCCTAAGCGGGCCGAGCCCTGCGGGCCCAGAGCCGCTGCGCCTCAAAGAGGCGGCACCAGGCACCTACGTGGTCGGCGCTGCTGTTGGCGCTGAAGTAGCAGACGGAACTGAACGTGTAGCCCGAGATGGAAGCCGCCATGATGAAGACCACTGCCGCCGCCGCCAACGCTCCCACAAGGCAGAGCGCGCCCGACGCCCTCCTACTTCCGGCGGAGCGCGGGGGCTGCTGGGAGATGTAGTCCGACTGCGCGTAGGCTGGCCGGGGAATCATGGTGTCCTTCGAGGTCGTCCAATGCATTCGCACCAGCGCCAGGTCGTGTCTGTGAGCACCACAGCTACCAGGATGGAGACTCCAGCATCTGCAGCTGCCTGGCCGTCCCATACCACGATGGGGATTCTTCCTGAGGTCTGAGCCTTGCCTGGGTCAGCATAAAAGCAGTGCGATTATGATGGTTTATGGTGTGGTCACAGATGAAATGGATTCCCGTTTCCCATCTGGGACCAGGTTGGATAGGGCCCTGGGCAACCTGGTCTAGTATTAGATATGGAGTTTTGTGGCTCTGCCTGTTGCAGGGGGTTGGAGCCTTGTGATCCTTGGAGTCACGAATGATTCTATGACTCTGTGATAGTTGTGTATAAGTCAGATTCTCTAGTCAAGAGACATCAAAACAATAGCACAAATCTTTTTTTAATAAAGATTGCCTGGACTTTGGACAGCCCTCACGAATTGAATGATGAGAATCTGTCCCCTTGGAGCTGAACTGCTCCTTACAAGCACACTATCCATTGCTTTCAGTGAAACAGTTTGGTATGATGATAAATTGTGAGCCAGAAGAAGAACGAAATGTTGGCTTTGAAAGTGCTTAGGCAAAGGACACGACAGTGGGGCAGATCTGAGCAGCACCCTGTTGTAACCCCCTGAATTTCAGCGCTAGAAAGCAAGCGCTTTCGTCCAAAGGAAAGCCCGGCTCCAGGGGGCCGGCTTTGCGGAGAAGCCCGGCAGCATGGAGCGCCGGTCCTCCACACCGCAAGGGCGGCGCCCTCTCCTCCCGCGCCCTGCGCCAGCCACACTCTATGGTAGCGCCGCGCTTCCGGGCGGGCATGGCGGGCGGCGGGGAGGAGCCCTTCGCGCCCTCGGCACTGGGTACCAGGCCTCAGTGAGTGGTGGGCTGTGGACAGGACCGGCAGCGAGAGCATCACCCGGCCTGCGGGAGTGCCTGGCCTCCTTACAGCCGTTTGGTTTCGGTTGTGAAGTGGGCTCTAGGTGGTCCCATGATATAGATGTGTGATCGCTCTCCTTTTTCCCCCTCTTTGAAGTCGTTCGCAATGCTAATTGCCGTATCTTCTTCTCCCTCCCCGTAGCTGGGATGCTGCGTATGAGAGAGAGCTGCAAGCTTTTCAGGAGACGGGAGACGCTGGGGAAATTTGGTAATTAAACCATCCCTACCTGAACTTGCCTGTTTGTTTCTCAAGGGGACGCTGCCAAAGTGCGTCCTCTGGGTCGGTGAATAGCTCTGGGTGTTGGCAGTGTAAAGGGGATGTCAGTCTTGGAGCCACCTGTTCTTCTCCTGACTGGCTTTGCAATGTAAATTGATAAGTTGTGCTTACACAACTGTCCTGGCAGAGACAGCGAGCTGGTAGGTATGGTCTGTTGTACTCAGAACTGCTCGTATCACTGAGCTCTGATGTAAGTAGGCCAGTTGCCAGTGCTGACTTCTCATACAACATGGGAGGGCTTTGCCTTCCAGAGGTGGTGTTTCAGTTACAACGCTTGAAAGGAACGTATGAGCAGCAGGAGGACTGACGTTTACATAGTCTGACAGAGCAATGGGGAATGGCTGGAAGCTGAATGAGGGGAGATTTAGATGAGAAGTTAAGAAGAAATCATTCACTCAGAGGGCAGTGAGGCCTTGGCACTGCTCCCTGAGCTGTGGGTGTCCCATCCCTGGAGGTGCCCATGTCTGTGGATGGGCCCTGGGCAGCCTGAGCTGTCAGGGGCACCCAGCCCGCAACAGGGAATTGCAGTTCTGTAACCTTTAAGGTCTCTTCCATTCTGTGGTTTGATTCATTTAAACTTTAGCAGATGTAGAATATGAGCTATGTCAGTTGTTAGGCAAGTGCTTCAATAAGAAGGGCTCTGCAGAAACTGGGGAGCAAGGGAATACATTTGCTGTGCTGATTGTGTGTCTTTGCTAGCTTGATTACCTGAGCCCTTGTTCCTAATAGGTTTGGAGAAGAAAGCATGGTTCGCATAATCAGATGGTTGGAGAAACAAAAGGTGCCCCTTGACAGCTCTGTGCTTGACATTGGAACTGGGAATGGTGTTTTACTGATTGAATTGGTTAGTATATTCTGCCTTTGTAACAGAATCGGTGCTCAGAACTCAGTTCTCAGTTCTCCTTGTCCGTCCTCAGTTCTGACAGCAATACTTTATTTTGATGCAAAAAATGGTCAAAACCAAGTGGTTCATGTAAATGCTTTGAAAAGTTGGCAGTGCCTCAAGAAGCATCCATTTCTGCCAGGGTGGAAACCCCTCAGCAGACAGGTTTTGAAGTGTTACAATGATGTTAAAGAGTGATGCAAGGTGATTTGCAGCTGCAGTAATCCTTTTGTGGTTTTGACTGAATCCTTTGCTGTAGTATTACTGCAGAATTGGTGAAGAAGGAAGCTTTGTTGCTGTAGTAGTTCCTATTTCCAACACTCTCCATTGGTTCCTTTAGTTACAACAGAAATTAAATGGAAGTCAAGGTTGGGCTTATAGTGCGCAGTTGCTTTAAGAAACATGGGCTTTGATTTTTAGAAGAGTTTAAAGCCTGTGTGGGGACTGACTGCCACATTGCAGTGGCAATTTAGAAACTATTAAAGTGCTGTAAGAGCAGGTGAAGGGTATTCAGCAGCCAAGTGAGGGTCTCTGCTGCTAATTGAACCAGCTCTGTCAAGAAGGAGCAGGAGGCTGCTTGTGAGTACCACCTTCAGGGCACTCATCTGACTCCAGAGTCATGTTTGAGTGAACGATCCCTTCCTGTCCATATGGAGTCAGGCCATACAGGTTTAGCAGCATTTAATGTTGTTTATCCTTAAACTTTCCTTCTCTGCCCCCAGAGACTATAGGAGTGAACGGAAACTCCCTGAAGTGACTCAAGCTCTTCGTTTCCAAACAGAGGAGCTGTTGTGGAAACTACGCTTCCACCCCCAGGCCTTCAGCACAGGCATCTCAGGAAGCTTGGTTTGCTCTTGGAGCTCTGGGGAGGAACGTGGGCAGAAGCCTAAGCAATATACTGTTCTTCATCAAATGCAAACAACACAGCCTTTGTGTCTAGCTGAAATTAGTCCTTGATTAAGAACAGCTGGCTAGCACTGCGCTCACACAGACTGAGAGGCTGCTAGGAGGAGGAAGGACTCTTAAAAAACGTAGTTCTCTTTGTTGTTGAGGTATTGGCCTTTGGAGTAAGTAGACAGGTAGCAGATTGCTGAATGCTAGTTGAGGTCCTTGGTATTCATAAAACAACCACCTCCCCCTCCACCATTCTGCCTGCAGCTGCCTGTAAGGCCGTAGCTCTTCATAGCTCCTCCTGCTAGGTTTGGAGCTGGCCAGATCTGCTCCTACCTGGGAATGCAAATGTGTTCCCACCCTGCTCCCAGGTGCCCAGCTCCAGCTGATGAGAGGCGTGTGAGCCCACCTGCTTTGCAGAAGGGTTGCTGGGCTGTCGTTGCCTGAGCTGGATGAACTGGGTTGTCCTTATCTAGTTCAAAGTCAGCAGAAACTGTGTGCTCTTCTATGTGGTTCGTAACCTGCCTGATAATCAGTGATACAAAGACCTCACTGCATGCAAACAGTGGCATTGAGATAGACATTAGCATGAAAAAGCAGAAAAATAGAAGTTTTACTATGGCCTTCTGTATTAATAAAATATATTACATATATTTGGTCTTAGAATTTAGGCTGTAAGCTGAATAATTGCTCGGTTTCATGTGTGTTAAAGAGGTTTTCTTACTTTGAAGCATCTGGCATTGGCACGTTCTCATCACAGAAAATTCCTGGCTTGGAGGTTACTTTTGGTACTGATAAGGGCTTATTTCCCTCCAGACTTTTTGACAGTTCTGCTCAGTTCCCCACTTGTTGGCATCAACCAGCTTTCAGTCAGCAGTTGTTCTGATGAGGTAGCAGGCAGATGGGGTTACTGCAGTCTGTTCACTTGGCTGTTCAGCTCTGGTGCTGATAACAGAAATGAAAATGATAAATAAAAGCAGAAATAAAGGTCCTGGGTTGTTCTGGTTTGTTTTTTGTTTTTTTTTTTTCTTATTGTTAAAGGGGGGAGGATGAATTATAGGGCACTGGAATGGACCTGGTGAACAAAAAATGCTAGCACACTGATTAAGATTCTCTGCTCTGTCTAGGCAAAAAATGGCTTCACTAACCTCACTGGGATTGATTACTCAGCTTCTGCAATACAACTTTCAGAAAAAGTAAGGGAGAAAGAAGGGGTGTCTAACATTAAATTACTGGTAAGTGTTGAGAGAATCTTCATTAAGGAAACTGAAAGCAGCTGACCCCAAGGTTAAGTGACCTACTTGATATTCAGGTGCACTCACTGCAATATATTAATGATGTATTTTGAAATTCATTTGTATTTTATACCTCATCAGAGAATTCTAACCAAATAAATCTGTGTTCACAGGAAGATTTGTGGTTATCTTGTTGTTTGTAGCAGTCAAAAGCTGTCCGAAGAGCAGATAGCCATTTGACAAGCTCTGCATTTAAGCTGATATGCTTTGAATGTTAGCTTTAAGACAGGACTAAATCCTTATGGGAAGGAATCCCTGCCAGTAGCTGTGCAGCAGGGAGTTTGGGAGACCTTGCTTGAGCAGGGGGACCAGTTGACCTCCAGAGATCCCTTCCAGCCACAGCCATTCTGTCACCAGTGTTTCTCTGCTGTGCTTTTCCCTGCCAGCTCTGTATCCCTGTGATGTCTCTGTTCTTGTATCTCACTTGTGATCTCTGTAACAGGCACCATCTTGTCTTCTGTGTTAGTACAGGGCCCAGCACACGGTGCCTGGAAAACCAGAGGTCAGAGTACAAATAATGATTTGAAAAATGAACTCCCAAATGTGTTAGCTTGAGCTTTAGATGAATACTGATGTCTGTGGGCTTCATAGCAAATAGATTATCATGTTGTGGGTAGACAACAAAGAAGCTGATGTGGCATTGTAACTTTGGCTCACCCTTTTTTATTGCCAAGTTGGAGGCTTTTGGTATTAAAGCATTGGTTTGCATTAAAGATTCAGGAGCTCCTGAGCAGAAGATTGTTTTCACAGTTGTAGACTTCTGGTTTAGGTAGAAGACTTCCTGGCTCCATCAGCTGAGCTACTGGGATTTCAGATCTGTATTGACAAGGGGACTTTTGATGCCGTGAGCCTTAATCCTGACAATGCAGTTGGAAAGAGGAAGCAGTACGTGAGATCTCTCTGCAGTGTATTGAAGCCAGAGGGCTTTTTCCTCATCACATCTTGCAACTGGACCAAGGAGGAGCTGCTGAATGAGTTCAGAGAAGGTGAGCAGTTGAACAGAACCATTTGCCAACCTGTGGTTGAGCAAAAGTGCAGTGGGTAGATTTTAGTGTCAGCGTTGACGTGTTTGCTCAGATCAGGATAAGACAAAGTAGTAAAAGGATCAGTAAATTCCTCAGCCTGTTCTCACTGCTTTCCTCGAGAATTACTGCTGCTACATTTGCCAGCGCCAATGTTTCAAGGGGGCTCAGGTTTTGTTATACTTTAGAGAACAAGGATCTCAGTCTAGCTACTCTGGGAAGGAGGGAATTCTATACCCCTCTGGGTGGGTTTTTTTTTCTATTTTGGCCTTTTGTTAGCAGATCTGGTTCACCCATACAACTGCTCTAAAAATTGCCTGTGCTTAGGGCAGCTGGCAAGACCATTTTTGTTCCCTCCTCTGTGACCTTCTGATGCTCTCTGTAGGTGTTTTTGTCTTGTTTTTATTTTTTTTACGTGATGGTTAGCTCCTGAATCTCATGCCTGAAGCTTGAAACTCCAAGAGCGTGGATCTAAAACAGCCATCCCTTCTGGGGAACTAAAATCGCTGCCAAGTGATCGTCTTTTCTGCCATTAATTTGTGTGATTCAGCCATCTGAGCTTTTTATTGCCTATGGAATGGTTTCAGCTGTATGAAGCAGCAGTGCAGTGTAACAATGCAGTCCTATGGAATTACAAAGTAACTGACTTGCAAGTTGTCCAGACAAATAAAGAATGGTTTGCAAAGGGTTATCCAAGAGCAGAATAGAATGACTTCCTTCTAATAAAAGCATTTTAATTTCTGTCTGGCAGGATTTGAAATTGTGGAGGAGCTGCCAACACCCAAGTTCTGCTTTGGAGGAAGAATTGGAAACAGCGTAACAGCACTGGTTTTCCAAAGAAAAAAGTGAGACCATCCATCTTGGACAAATTAGATTAGCTGAGAAAAGTCTGAACTTTAAAGTAAGCTTGACAGCAAACCTCAGACACGTGTGTAAATAAATGTTATTTGAGTACACAGTTAAATGCTATGTATGGAACTCTAAGGGACTATAAAACATTGCCCTAGAAACACAAGAGCTTTGCATAACTTGCCTGTAAATTTTGGCCTTGCTACAACCTCACTTGTTTCAGGGAGGCTGCAAGTTTGAGAGACACAAGTCATTTTAAATATTGACTGAGATAGCCGAGTGTTGTCTGCATTTGGAATGTAAAGATTATCTGGTATTTAATTTCTGGATTGGTAATCAGTGACCAACAGAAGCAAAGGTGTTCTACAGAGGAAATCTCAGTTCTGTGCTGTGGTGTAACTGGAGAGAAGCTTTTGAGATGTAGTTGGTGGACCCTTCATTTTTGCAGAAGGTAATTCTCATCACCTGTGAGAATGTAGGCTTATATCATTACTTACTTCCACTGATCCCATAATTATATAAAGGTGTGACATTATAATCTCACTAGCATGTGACATATGCCTCTTTCATGACTAATTTGCTATATAATGATGTCCTGAGCTCCAACAAAGACCATGTGTTTTCCAGTGATTTTCTCAGGATAAATTTTAATTGCATAACGAAGAGGAGTTTACCTGTAAATTCACTGTGAGGTAAGTGGGATTTAAGGCAAGTTTGAGGCAGAGTTCCCGAGCCTGTCAGCTTCTCAGGACTACACTGAAATTTTCCAGTAAAATGCTCAAAAAAATGAAGAGACTGAAGCCTGCAGATGGGTGGTGCTGTGGGAAGGAGGGACAAGGAACAGGAAAAAGCAGGGTGGCACCCACAGCTGAAATGGTTTTGATTCCTCAATTGGTAGTGGCCTCTCTTCAGTCTCAAGCACACAAGCAATCACTTGGGTCTAATGATTTCTGCATCTGATCTGTAGCTGGCAGTGTTCGTAAGCCTGTGCACTTTGAACTATCACTGGAGAGTAGAAGAATGCTTGTAAAACATGTTGAGGAGGGTGTTTTTAAGGCAGTAATAATCAAAGGCCTGCTGTTTGAAATCTGCTGTTAGAAACCTGACCCTTATGAATAATGGAGTCTAGGCAGCAGCTGTAATAGTGACTTGAATAATGTTTTTTTCTTTACTGACTGGTAAGATTTGGCAATGACATGTCAGAGAATGGCCTTGATTTTGAGCGGTTCACCTTGCCAGATGATTTTTCATGAAGGTAGAATCTCAAGATGTCTGTGCTGCTCAGTGAGAAACCTCTTAAAAGAGGCAGGGAAATAAACAGTGAGTTAGGAGCAGTGAGGCTTTGCTTGTGGTTTGGAGAGCTTTATGGTAGTTCATAAAGGTGGATATCTGGGTGAATACACAGTTGTGTGACTTTTGGTGTCAGCTGCAAAGCTAAACTACAGGGGAGTAAATACAGCATTTGAAATGCATTCTGCTCCTATTGTGTTTCTCTCTGGGGATTTTGCTTGTGATTTCTCAGTCAAATGTGAGATTTGTAGATAGTGAAACTAATACCATCCCTGGATCTCAGCAAGCTTTTTCTGTAGTCCCGAATTTAGGTTGGATGGTGCTGCAGGGCCAGCATACCTTTATGGAGCTGCGAATAGCTTTGTGTCAAAGGTAGGCAGGACAGAGAGGGATTATGTTCCTTTGTTGACCTACAGCATGCCAAAGGCTGACATTCCCTGAGTGCCGGTGGGCTTTGCACCTGGCTTCATGAGCCAGATTCCAAGCTCAATGAGATGCCTGGAAAGACTGGAAAGGAAAGGGCGGCGTCAACCACAGCCCTCCAGAGGGATCCACTGCTTGGAAATGAAGTCTCTCCCATTCTCCTTAAGCAATGAAACCTCAAGACTAGGACAGATCTCATCTTCTAAGCCAGGTGTTTTCAGTATGTGCAGCTCTGGTGATGCATGAACTGCTAGGAGCTGGATGTTGTGGCTGGGCTGCGCAGGTCCTGCTGGCCATTGCTGACCTTTCCTTCCAGGAAGATGGCTTTTAGGATAGAAGCCCACAGCCAGCTGCTTTTTTGTACAGCTCTGACCCCCAGTATCTGGCTCCTGGTATCTGCCATTGCCAAGCAAATCATAGAATCATGATAAACCTTAAAGCCATTTTTAATAATAGAGAAGAATCACAGAATGGCCTGGATTGAAAAGGGACCCCAATGCTCATCCAGCTCCAACCCCCTGCTGTGTGCAGGGTCACCAACCAGCAGCCCAGGCTGCCCAGAGCCACATCCAGCCTGGCCTGGAATGCCTGCAGGGATGGGGCATCCACAGCCTCCTTGGGCAACCTGTTCCAGTGCCTCACCACCCTCTGAGTGAAAATGGCCTTCTGTGGTTCATTTTGGAAGTATTTACTGGGAGATCCATTGTGTTGGTTGTGGCTCTTGTGCTGCTGAGTGGGCTGGGAGCGTTTTACCTGTGGGAGAGCAGACCGTTGGATTTTTATGGGTTGTGTAAAGGAAGTGAACTGTCAGGATGAAATGTCTGAAAGAGGAGACCAAGTGAAATTAAGGAAATAAGTATTGATTTAAGAAGGCCTATCTTTACAGGTGGAATTCAGTTTAAGCATAAGGTAAATAGGCTCTCAAGACAAAAAACCTTTGCGTTTTCAGCATCACAGCACTTTCTTGAAGTAAAAACTACTCCTTTAATCATGTTGCCATAAATTAATAAGTGGGAAGTGCCAGACATGAAAACTGTAACGCAAATGAATGAACACAGAAGATTCAGAAGGAGGAATAATGTTGCCTTGCTCCTTGACTTCCTTCTTGGTGACCAAGCTGTTATTTATATGCAAGTATTTTCGTTTAGTGGTCATTGCTCCCTAAGGAGCAGAGCCAACGGCAGTGCAGTCTGTCGAGTGTTTTTTAAAGTTAATTTTTGGAAGGCTAAGAAGATACAGCATCAATATTCTGGTATTAAATGTAAATAGAATTTTGTGGTCTAAAAGGAAGAATTTATGGGAGCTATAATTTTTTTTTTTGAAGGTATGCTGGATTGCATGCGGAACACTAACAGAATTATGGCAGCTGCTGTACCAGAGAGGGCAGTAATGATGAAATGACAGTCTATCTGTTCCATCCAGAGACTATTCAAGTCTTTATAGAGAGCACTGGGTAGAAATAACTGCAGCATAGCGGGGTTGTATCTACATACAGACACAGGCTCTCCCCCTCCATTTCAAACTCAGTGTTGTAGCCCAATTTCTGACCACCAGGAACGGCCTGCTGTCCCACTTGTGCTGTGGGATTTGGGGTGTTGGACGCCTGTGGGTCTCGGGGGAACAAACACAGTGTGCAGACTGCTGTGTTTCAGAGGTTGACCTTAGGACACCAGTGTGGGTCAAAGGCCTGAGTGGGGAAAGGAGGCAATGACTCCTCTCACTTGCAGCAGCCTGGCCTCGCTGTCCAGGTGCGTGGGGTCTGTGGTACCCATGAGGCTGAGAAGTGGGGCTGACGTTCATCCTGGCAGCATCTCTTTTCATAAGGATGAGTCCTTGACTAGCTTTTCTGCTGCATTAAGCACAATGTGCTTTTCTTCGTTGCTGACACTGGCTGCTGTGTATTCCCATGTTCCAGGAATGCACTGGCAGCATTGTAGCCATTGTAAGGAAAATCCATGTACATGCACTCTGCTATGTCCGTGCTGCTGGGTTCCAGGGTGCCTGGTAAAAGCTGCCAACATTTGTGTTATTTCATACCAGAGCAAAACTGTGATCGTGGTATTTAGCAACATACAGCAAAATTCTCAGTGCTTTGGCACTCAGCTGGCTTTCTGGATCTTGGCACACTGAAAGGTAAAGAACGTGCCTCAGGAACTGTTTTATTTGTATGGACCCGTTAAGCATTTTAACATATGGATCATCTCCTGTAAAATACACGAGGAAAGCGCACAAGATAAACAGACCAGAGCTTTGCACTGCCACAGGGAGACCCACCTGCCTTTGTGCTTCCGTGGTGCGTTGCCTCTGCCTGGGCTGTGTGATGCTTCCCTTCCTTCAGAGGGGTTGGCTCTGCTCTGCCCCGTGGCTGGAAGGTCCTTGGGTGCAACCTAAACCTGCTGGGTGGGGGAGCAGCCCTTGGATAGCTGGGGCTTTCAGTGGAAAAGGGATGAACCGTTACAGCCTGGAGATGGAGGAGGGAAAGGAACACTGGTGTGTTTTATTTGATACAGGGGGAAAGCCAAGCCGTGGCTTAATTTCCATTTGTTAGGTAACAGTATAGCTTGAAATGAGCGGATTTCTAGGTTACTGGAAAGTAAACAGACTGCTTGATGTAGCCATATGAATTCCAGATAATGGCAAGTGCATATCCTTGTGCTGGAAAGCAGGGCTGACAAACAGTATGAGAGAACACAAACAAGCCTCAGTGCAGCCGCTTGAACGGCCAAGTGCTCACAGACAGACGGTGTCACAGAGCGAGCAGAGATGGGAACAAACTGCACTTGCTTTTTGTAGCCGGTGTAGGGTACCAGCTCACCTTGTTCAGGTACACCGAGCTAGAATGTGTTACAGAGAGATGGAAAATAGATTCCTGCATTGAGGACACTGTGCACACTGCTGACAGCCCTCTGGGAGCACAGAGGACGAGAGGTGAGCGATGCCGTGCCTGGACTGAGCTGTGGATGCAGACAGAAAGCAGCCTTCTGCTCGGCTCTTGGAGCCCAGCCCTGTGCTGCAAGGGCTGCCACGGGGATGGATTCAATTATGCTGCAAGCTTGATTGCTAAATGTTCAGCTGGGAAACCATACAAACTATTCAGACTTGATTCCCAAAGTTCTGCAAAAGCAGCTTGCAAGTGTTTAATTTTCATTGTTACTGAATATATACGATCATTAAAGGACGTCGTTTAAGTGGGATGGAGGAGCTTGTAGTAGAATGGCTGTGATTGGAAGGGACCTCAAAGACCGTTCGGTTCCAACTCTTATAACGTTACCAGCCGATAAATCAACCGCTGGATCGGGCTGCCCAGGGCACCTCCAGGGCCGCGGCTCTCTGGGCTGCAGGAAGGGAGGCGGCAGGCGGCGGTGTGAGCGGGCTCTTCCGCCGGGTGCCGGCAGGAGGCGCTCTCGGCCGCCCGATGGAGCCGCCGGCCCCGTGCACGCGTCCCGAGCGCCCCGCGCAGTGCCCGTGCCCGCGGGGTTCGGGGTGGCGGCGGGGCGGCGCTCCTTTCCGGGCGCTCTGCTGGCGACGGCGGGGAAGCGGAGCCCGGGCGCGGGGGTCGGCGGTGCCGTCCCGGGGGCGGCTGCGGGGCAGCGCTGGGGGGCGGCGGGCGCGGAGCTCCGCAGGTGCGGGCCGGGCCCTGCCTCCGCGCCGGCCCCGCTCAGGAAGTGACAAGCGCATTTCCTCCCTCCTCCTCCTCCTCCTCTTCTCCTCCTCCTCCGCCCTCCCCGCCCGCAGCACGGCGGCGGCGGCGGCAGGAGGGAGGGAGGGAGCGCGGCTCGGAGCGGTGCCCACAGCCGGCCCCGGCCGGGCCGCGCCGCCGCTCCGCCACCACGGTAAGAGCCGGGACCGCGCCGGGCGAGGCTGAGCCGCGCTGTCAGCCCGGGGGGGAGCCGCGACGCCGTCCCGGGGGCGGCGGACAAAGGGCGGCGGTGGCGGCGGGGAGCGGCCCCGGGGCGGGGGGTGTGCGGGAGCTCAGCCCGTGGGGGGGGGGGGGGGGCGGCTCGTTCTCGCAAGTTTCGCGTCCCCCGAGCCAGCAGCGTTCGCCACCGCCGCGGCTCCCGGACACGTGCTGCGCTCCGTGCGGCCCGGGGCGATGCTCGGCGCGGTGTCAGCGCGGGGGGTGCCGCCCCCCGGTCCCGCCGCCGGGCTGAATGCGGGGTGCCGGGCCTCGGGGTGGGAGCCGTGCGTGCACCGCTGGCGCTTGGCAGCGCGGCCAGCCCCGAGGAAATGCGCCGAGTCCAAACTGAGCGTAATTGGTTATGAAACAGACGGACCGAGCTGCGGTTCGTAACCGCCAGCAGATGAGCCCGCTTTCCTTATCCATTCCCGAAGCGCCTTTGGACAGGTTGAAACTACCTGCGGGCTGCCCGGGTAACCTCGAGCCGGGAGCGTCCCAACATCCCGACCCCCGGCACCGCCGGCAGCGACGCGCTGAGCCCCGGCACCGCTCCGCCGCACCGAACCCCGTCTGAGTCGGGCTGGGGAAGTCACGTCCAGGCTGCGTTCCCTCCGCAGTGGATGCAGAGCGGGGAGGGTCGGGTCGGAGCAACGAGCTGCAGCGGGGGCTCAGCCTGCCCCGTCCGAAGCGTTGCTTTGCACGTAAACCCGGGGCGAATCCATGAAGAGCATCTGTGGGTGAGATCGGGGCTGTACGCGGCACTCGTGCAGACTGTGGCGCGGATCCAGCCCTGACTGAGGCTGATTTTCAAGTGTGGATACGTGGGCAAGTAACTGTGTGTGTGTAAATGTGCAGATAGGTAATCGTAGTGATGGGATTCATGTTCCTCCTCGTTTTTCTTTCTAGTAATATTGGGTTTGGCTTTTTTTTTTCTTGCTCGTTGATGTGATTTCTTCTTTCCGTGCAAGATCTCAGCTGAAGGAGAGGATATCCCAGGCTGAGAAGTGCAGGGTTGGTGTGTTCCTTCTCCCCACCCCCCCAAATTGCAGGGCTGGCAGGAGCTGGAGGCGCTCCTAATGAGTGCTAATTGGCAGCAGAGCAGGGATGCTTGAAGCCTTGGGAAAGCCCGGCCCACCAGAGGAGGGGGTTTTCCACCACGATGGTCTAGGAGCTCCTTTGGTGGGGTCTAACAGCCCATGGAACCCTCCTCAGCACCCAGCTATGCAAGCAGGAGGGAAGCCCTGCCCAATCTCCCCACATTCAGGTGAATTTCAGCTTAGGCAGTAAGTGGCGATTGCAAACTGTGCTTATTAGCAGGGGTACGAAGTGACCTGTGCATTACAAGTACTGCAGGTGGAGAGATGCTATCAGGTGTTGCAAGGTGACACCTAATCCCCTCCTCTGGTGCCATTTTTCACCCTTTTCTCCATCCCCCGATGCTCTCCATGTTCCCAACCCCATGGTGCTCTGCTGGTGGTGATGGGGTGCAGCCCTGTGCCTGCACTACCTTACTGGGGTTTGTGCTGCTTGACCCCAGAGCTCTGGCTCTGTGCTCTGTCTGTGTGCTGTGTTTATGAGAAGGGACTTTGCTTTTCCAAGGTCACTCTCCAAGCCTGCAGTCTGCTGGTGCCCAGCCGTTTGCTCAGCCAGCAGTGCAGAACGTGGCTCTGGGGCAGTGACCAGAGGTCCCCAGGCTGTTTTGTTTCTCCACATCTGATGGGTTGGCTGCCTTTGGAGAGACCCACTTCCCCAGCCAGGGCTTGTTCTGCTGGTGCAGGCTCTGATAACACAGGCTGGGAACACGTAAACCTTCCCTTTTCAACCTGTATTGAAAACTGAAGAGTGGTGGCATGTATTAATTGAACTGGAATTGCTCTTCACTTTGGGGAGCTGATCCATGACTTGTGGAGCTTCTGATATTTGATAGGCTGGATTCACGTGGTGCCATATAGAATCGTTAAGGTTGGAAAAGCCTTCAGAGATCCCCAAGCCCAACCCATGCCACCATGCCCACTGCCCACATCACTCAGTGCCACGTGCCCACAGTTCTGGAGCACCTCCACGAATGGATATGCAAAATGAGTAAGATTTGGTGTGTTGGGAGTTTTGATTGAAACTTGCTGAAGGAAGGCACTGAATGGCACTGAACTTCTATGAGAGCCCCCAGACTTGTGCAGGTCCCTGGGCAGCAGGTGTGCTGGTACCTGTGCTTGTTTGATTCCGTAACTGAATGTTAGTTTAAGAAATGGATGAGTGAGTGCAAAAAATGTGTTCTGGGAGAGGGTTTGGGTTGAGGTTTCCACACCTCCAACTCCATGAAATACTAAAAGGAATAACCTCATGGGAGACTTGATCGTGGGTTTGGCTTTTGGAGGATTAAATGTAGCGGCTTCAGTGCCATTGCTCCTCTGTAGCCTGTGAGGCATTCCCTGGGCTGCATCATTCCCTGGGCTCATGGGATTTTGTGTTTAGCAGCCAAAGCTCAGGGCTTGGCCGTGCAGTAGGAGTGGGACCAGAGGGTTTGGCTCTGTGGCTGTTGCTCCTGCATCCCTCCAGCTCCCACGGTGTGTAACATGTGCAAACTGACAAACTGTGCTCCGGCAGCTGGAAAACCTGCTGTGAACCAGCTCCAGAATGGAGGCAAAAGTCCTAAGTGGGAAGGTGACGTTAGAGGTGGATGTGATGGGGTTGGTGTTTGTCTGCTAACCTTCGTGTCGCTGCAAACAGCCTTGTGGTGTGCTGGGGAATAGTTGTACACGCCATGAGATCACTTCAGGAATGTGTTCCTGATCCTATTATGGCGTGCTTTTCATGTCCCAGCCATTACAAATGAATATCATGTAATATTTTTGAAAGGACGACATTTAATTCTATTAAATAGATGCTGAAAGCTATTATCATATATGGAATATCCATTACAATTATGAAGATACAGAAAGCATTACAAGTATCCACATTTGGCTTTTTTAGCTTCTGTGCTAGTTCAGAGGAAAGATTATCTCTTTATTGGCCCATCAGTTGTGTTATGATTGAAGTTCAGTGCTGCTGCTGGTGCTTCTCAGGGTGAAAGCATCGTGGTTAATGAAGATTTGCAGCTCCCAATGGCTTCATTTGGGCTCCGAGGCACCCAAGCTTCCACTTCCACGTGGGTTGTGCTGTTGGTAGAAAGCTGCCTTTCTCCTGCAGGTCTTACATGAATCGTTGGCTTTGGGAAGGGGTTGGGAAGGGCCGCTTTGTTCCTCCCCACTGTTGGTATGAGTCAAACACTGCAAGCATTGCTGGAAGTCCCCGGCTCTTTGTGGGGCTGCTGACGCCATGGGAGCTGTGGTGTGGCCCCATGGAGGCTGGAGGTGTAAATTATTTGGAGCCAGTGTTTAAGAAAGCTCTATATTTAGTGCCTGCTGCTTAACATCAGCCTGGCTTACTGCTGGCAACAGGCGCAGCCATCGCTCTGCTCTCTCCTGCATACAGCACTAAAATATCCATTGATTGTCCCTTTTCTGCATCATTACTGATGTCCCTCCTGCTGTGAGGGAGACATTTTATTATTCCCATTGTCTAAACCTCCTGTCTCTTGTTTTCTACCTCTCTGCTAACCACTGATTTGTTTCTTTGTGCGCTTCTGCTCCCGTTTCTGTTTCTCCAACTGCCGATGCCAGAAGGAGCATCTTCCCAAAAAAAGGAGAGCAGAGGAAGGGGTGAGGAAGAGGGGTTACCACAGAAAGTTTGAAAGGGTGAAAAAACATCACCCAAAAGACAGAACTTAGTGTTGAATTGCAGTCCCATGCGTTTGAAGGTGGTGTTGTGATGCTGGGGACTGTGCCACGGTTTCCATCTTCCATGTTAGTCCCTTTGCTCAGGAGTGTAGCAGTGTACATTTCTCCATGAGATGCTCCATTTGTACCAGGCTACCATTGCCTGGCCCAGTGCCTTCCTACCAGCCAGGGAGCCAATATGGGATGCTGTCTGTCCCCAGCATGGCATTTGGGGAGGGGGCTGTGTGATCCCTGCAGCCTCCGGTCCTTGGGGCACAGGGGCATTGCCTTTACCTCTGATTTATGCCTGCAGGATGGGAGGAAAGGGGATGTGTGGAGAGTGTCCAGCTGCTGGAGACTCTGGGAGGAAAAATGAATGTATATTTTTTCCCTTAGCTGCACGTTCACGCTGTCGTCAATGACTTGGCACCTGGTGGGAAGGGAGTTGCACCCGTCCCGTTGGCTGGCGTTGGTGCCAGCTCAAACACCGCCAGTCGTGGCTTTCGTTTCCATTTGCTGCTGGGCCATTTTTCCTATTTGCTCAGAGACAGACAGAGGGATTGGGGTTTCAGTAGTGCCAGCAGTAGTGGGGAGCATCCCACCCCACGCCCCCAGGCTCACAGCATCCCGCCCCATCCAGCAGGACTGTGCAGAGCCGGAGCTGCGCCAGGTTTGGGCTATACGTGTTGCTGACACCTTATGGGAACTGAACGTGTGTTGGAGTAACAGATGGGTATTATTCCAGCTTTGTGAATGTCTCCCTGAGATATTAAAAACACCAGCTCTCATGAATGGCTCCCTGGAAGTGCTGTCGGGAGCATTCAGGTGCTGCTTGGCTTTGATGAAATGAGTAAATGCCACGAGCGGGTGTTTGCTTTGCCTCCTTCCTCCTACAGAAAGGCTCCCTTTGAGGGATGGCAAAGCATCCAGCCCCCATTCCCTATCAGAAAACATCACCATCCTGCCTTTACATTGGTGCTTCTGGGGCTCTGTGATGAGCACTCAACGTCCCACAGCAGTGCTGATGCTCTGTGCCCATGGGGATGGCTGACCCCAGGGGAGCCCAGTCCTGCCCACAGAGTTTGTGGGTGCCCCATCCCTTTTGAGGCCAGGTTGGATTGGACCCTGGGCAACCTGATCTAATACCTGATTTAGTGGTTGGCAGCTGTGCCCACAGTGAGGGGTTGAAGCTGGACGATCTTTGAGATCCCTTCCAACCCAAGCCATCCTATGATTCTCCCTTCTGGACACAGCATTCAGAGGCTGCCATGGGATGTGCTCCCCAGATCGGCTCCTTGGCAGCCCGCGCACGTAGGAGCCGTCTTCTGCTAACAGATTGTGGTGTATTTAATGAACCCGAGGAAAAACAAGGAATCCGAAGGCTGCGGGGCGATGCAAGTTTGCTGTTCAGTCTGCCAAATTCATGCTAATTCAGACAACTCACAGATGTTTGGCTCCCTGTGTGTTAAGGAGATTTATGTAAGATGCAGGGCTGGGAAATTCATTCCCAGCGTGCCGGAGAGCCGAGCTGGCAGTGGCTGCACACGGGCAAAGGTTTCCTGTCCATTTCCTTTGTCCATTCCTTGCCACCAACTTTTCACTGCAACACGTCCATTGGTTGCTGGGAAGATGGGTAAAGGTTCGTCTTCCAGAGCCAGCAAGCTCTGTGAAGGCTTTTTCCCAGCTGAGGAATGATTCCCCTGAGATAGGGATGATGATCCAGTGGGGACCACAGTGAGGTGTGACCACAGCAGTGGCATTGCTGGCCCTGTGCTTCTTTCTGCTTTATGGGTTGGCCACAGGTGATGCACACTGTAGGCATAGACTGCCAGCTGAAAGCATTCCAAACCCCGAGAATATTGTCTGCCTAATTGAATTTTTTGGAATATCCTGAGTGATCGTTTTTCTGCTGGAGGCTCTGCAGTCTTACAGCTTTTACTGGTAAGAATGGAGCGGGAGGAGAAGATCTCACAAAGTCTGGTTGTTCTCCCTCCATCATTGCGTGTACATCCAGTATCCCTGCTTTAAATCTTCGGTCACCCTGGTTATTCAGGGACCACCAGCCTCAATCACATCTCCAGCTCAGCCTTGGAAAAGGGAGAAATCTGCCTTGCTAACGGTACCCAAGTCTGACAATGATGCTGGAGTTCCAAGTTTCCCTGCAAGACGCCCAAGCTGTTGCTAGCACTTGGCCATACTGTGGTTCTTTGCTTGCCACCAATGCATTGCTGTTGATGTTGAAACCTGGGGGCTCTGGAGCAAGCAAGGCAGGGCTGGCTGAGAGCCTTGGAGGTTTGTCACCCTGGAGCTTTGTCATCTGGCTGTAAGTAGGTGGACGTCGTGCTGCAGAGGTAGGTACTGAGATGGGTTTAAAATGGCCTGAAATCATTGAAATTGGGTCTGTAAAAATGGCATGGTGAGGCCCTGCTTACCATCTCCAACCCAGAGGTTTCAGGTCGGATATGGGAAAACGGTGTGAGAAAGAAACATGAAGTGGTTTATTTGTTTCTATTTACTAAAGCAGAGTTCTCCAAGCAGTAATTAAAAGTAAACCTGGGCTCTGCTGCCTTGTTCAGCACCCCTGGTTGTTAAGGTTAACAGCTGAGGCAATTCTCAGTTCAGCAATTCCTTGACTTTTGGGAGCGTGGCCAACACTCACAGTATCTCACAGACCATTGCAAATTCTTGTCATAAATCTCACAATTGGAAAAATACAGACATCGAAAGGTGAGCTGGTTCTTCAGACTGGCAGGCTGGGCTGTGGTGCTGCTTCAGCTGCTCTTCTCCAGAGACCATCGTTGCTCCAGCTCCCTGGGCACGCCTGGAAATATGCTCAGAATAAGAAGCAGACCCTTGATAAGCAATTAGGCAATGGTAGGAAGTTTTTCCTCAAAGAGAACATGCCATTTTTACAGTCCTTTTTTTCTGATGAAAATCATCTTAGAATACAGTCAAAAAACCATAGGATGGCTTGGGTTGGAAGGGCCCTCAGATATCATCCCATTTCAGCCTGCCTTGGGCAGGGTTGCCAGCCCTTATATCAGACACAGCTCAGGCTGCTCAGAGTCCCATCCAGCCTGGCCTGGGGCACCTCCAGAGTTGGAGCGTCCTTTAGAGGGTATGTCTGAATGGCCCGTGGCACCATGCAGAATTATTGGTGGTATTTCCTCCCAAGGTGGCTGGGACCTGGAGATGGCTCCTCTTGCCATTACTTGCATGAGATCCATGCAGCAGACTGGACTGTGCGCAGTCACTGTGTGCATCCAGTTACCCCTCTGTGCCAGCAGCCCCCTGTTTTGCACTTCGTGTTTGCTCTTTGCAATGACTAATTTTGCTCTCTTCTCTTCCTTTTCAGTTGCCAGGGAGGAAAAGGCAAAGTCACAGCCAGCGCTGCTTTCTTCAAGCTGAGATGTTGAGACAAAGCACCTCTGACCCTGTCCTGTCCTTTCTCTCCATCCCTTTCCGCCGTTTGTTTGTGAGGGAGTCCTTCCCCTGCCACTCCTATTCCGTAAGAGCAAGGGGGCAATAAAACCAATGTTCCTTTACTGAATTAGATGGTGTGCCATTTTCCTTGATCGCTGATTTTTTGGGGTGGGCACTTGCATTTTGGGCTCTCCCTGACGGATGCGTGGCTTTGGGCTGGAGACACCAGGACCTGGTGTCACTTTATGGCAGGATCCTTTGTGGAGCACTTGGAGGCAAGGGTTGGATGGAAGGAAGCTTTTTTAATATGCTGAGCAATGTGTTTGTGGTTTTGGTCAGCACCTTGGTACGTGTGGAGCTCCTGGTTGGGAGGATTCACCATAGGCCATGCTGATGGACCAAGCTGTGCATGGCCGTGGCCAGGAGTTGGACTGGGTGGTCATTATGGGTCACCTCCAGCTTGGGATATCCTACAGTCCTCAGATTTACCGTGGTGGCTCACGGTCAGGCTTTGTGTTCCAAATGTGGCTCCTCAAGATGGGCACTGCCATAGTGAGCCTCCTGGTTGTGACTTTTCTTTCTTTTTGAGGGGTTGCATTGCAGACAGGGGTATTTATTCACGATTTTTGGAAGTTTTAATCTTGTAAATAAAGTCAGTGTTGACTAATGGTATGGAGCAGCAAGCACCGTGCAGCCTGGCTGCGAGAGTCCAGTGAGGAAGTGAGCCCTTGCCTGGCTTTGTACAAATATTAACCTGTAGGGACCTCTTCCAAACTTGTAACACAATAAATCAACAGGTTGAAAATGCAACTCTTGGTATTATTTATAGTGTGGTGAGGCAGATGTGGAGCCCTGACATACCTGAACGAAGTGGTGTTCTGCGGACAGGCAGCTCCAGCACACACAGACTGGTTGTTCCTTGGATACCATCCGACGACAGGGCTGCTTTTTTGTATGCTGTTTAGTGCTTTAAGTTTGCTTTTTAAAAACATTGGTTGTCCCATCGAAACTTTTGGGAAGATTTTTGGTTGTCCCCTCTCAGTCATTTGCAGATGTTGGGTGAGCTGTGTTGTGCTGGGCCCAAGTTTTGCTGGGGCTGTGCATGAAGAAATCAGGATCTGGATACCAGGAGGAGAGTGTGCATGGGGATCCTTAGTTTCCCCTTGAGCTTGTAATAGGACAAGGGGAAATGGTTTCAAACTAAGGGAGGGGAGGTTCAGATTAGCTATAAGGAAGAAGGATTTTATGATAAGGGTAGTGAAGCACTGCTCAGGCTGCCCAGAGAGGTGGCGGTGCCCATCCCTGCAGGCACACAAGGTCAAAGGAGAGACTCTGAGCACCTGATGGAGCTGTGGGTGTCCCTGTGCACTGCAGGGGATGGGACCAGATGGCCTTTAAATGTCCTTTCCAACTCAAATGGTTCTGTGGTTGTGGCCATAGCACTGGTGTTGGCATTACTTTTTCAGTCCGTGGATAACAGTTCAATCCTCTGACTCTAGTGTGTTATAATTTGGGCTGAGAAGAGTCTTGCCCTCTTCTTTCTGACACTGAGGGTGTGGTAATGATAGGAGGCTTTGAGGGTGAGAAACAGAGATTCATGCTTTGAACAACTCTAAAAACAGAAAGGAAACAAATTACTGTTGTGACTGTAGTCACAATAGTAGAATAGTAATACAGTGAAATGGTAAAAATGTAGGGGTTTCATTCCTTCCAGCTGGTAGCAAATGTAAGGCCAAAATAGTAATAGCAGCTCTCCGTTCACAGAGCAAGTGGGGACATGGCTGGGGGGGGTTGGGTGTGCAATGCAGTGCCCAGAGAAAAGTGTACGTGGGCAATGGAGGAATGACGTGTGCAGCAAGAACTGTTTGATGGTAATTTGATGGTAGCAATAGCAATTTAACCTTACTTTGCAGAATAAGCCATAGGAAATTCTCGGTCTGCTTTAACATCTCTTCTGTGGCTGAGCTGCTAGTTGAAATCAGTGACACCTGTAGAAGCATGTATGTGTGCTCGTTGGGCAGAGGTCTTTAGGTGGGGTGGTTGGAGATGCTCTTGCTGCAGTCCTGGCTGCAGAAGGAGATTCCAAGGCAACCCGTAAACCCAAGGGGTTCTTGAAAGATTGAGTTTTCAGCCTTTTGGGGGGTTAAAAAGCTCCTGGATTATCTCACAGCATGGCTGTGGCCCAAGTCTAAACTTAACCTTGACTGAAGGATGAAGATAGTTCCTTTATCTGATTGCAAATGAGGAAATACATTCCTTAAAATAATTAATGGTCCCTGAAGAGCATCTTTTTATTAGCATCTGTATGCGTGGAAAGCTCCGGTCCATAAATACCCAGCAGTTTCCTTCTCATGGCATGGCTTTCATAGGAAGACCAGTGTGAATGGGTGCTGCCCTACAGCACCAGCGGGGCGTCGTGGGGCAGGGCATTGCAGTGGGGAGTTTTGGCTGTGGCACAGTGATGTGGTTGTCCCCAGGGGGATGCAGTGATCAGGGCACTGTCACCCAAATGGGGCAGAGAGCTGCTGCCCGGGCTCAACTCCGTGCCTGGCTGCGCGTAGTGCTCTGCTGCAGCAGTATTAATCATTACCTTAGGGAAAGATAATTATTGGTGGAGAAATTGTAGCCTGTTAATGAGAAAACGTGCTTAACTGCTTCCCGGCTGCTGGGACTGCTTGTTTGATCTGGATTTCCACTGGTGAGCGGCTGCTCACCAGCAGTGGCCTCGGTGCCCTCCGAAGCACCACAGATGTGGTGTGGGTGAGCATCCCTGCCCCATGTCCCAAGCAGGGAGCAGTGATGGAGGTGGCTAGAAATGGTGCAGAGTTGGTACGGTGTGACCCAGAGGGCTCGTGGCAGGGGGAGAGGGCTTGCTGCTCCCTGCTCTGGGCCCCATGTAGGGCTCATGTAGCAGATGGTGTTTCCTTGAGCAATATCAGCTCTGTTTTGGCAGATGTAGGCTTGGATGTCCTCAAGGGCAGCCCTGCCCCGTCCGTGGCTCAGCCACGGTCGCTGATAGAGCTGAAATTGCAGGAAGAACATTCCTGATGTCTATTCCTGGTGGCATTCCCCAGTGAAGCCAAGGAAGAGAAGCATGCAGGACTTGGGGTGCTGCGTGGTGCCACGTGCGTGTCACTGGGGCACCACAAAGGCTTTGGAGATCCCACTGTGTATCACTGGAGGTTTTGGCAGTGCTCGTGCCATGGGGTGATCGTTGGGCTGCCCGGGGGTTTGCGGTGAAGCTGTAGTAAACTGTACATCATAAGGCATCCAGTGGCCCAGAAGAAGCTGGAGTCTGTACCACGTGCCTTTTGGAGCAGTAAATCTTTGAAAAATGTATTGATTCCCGATCCTGGCTTTGCACTCTGGCTGAACTTTGTCCTCACAAGACACAGTAGGTGATTTCTCTACCAGCCAGCTGGCCTCTAAATGAGCTACTCATAACTCCATCCCGACCTCTAATCCAAATAAACATGAAAAAGATTATTTGCAAGCTGGAAAGAGAATCCTTATCAGTTTGTAATGAGGTTTAATACTTAGCAGCGTGTTCTCAAATATTGTCCTTAAGTACTGCAATTTGGTTTTGACTGCGTGTTACAAGATAAGTGTTTCATGCTCTTCGGATCATGCAAATGATGTTTTTGTTTGTTTGGTTAACAGCAAGGCAACAAAATAGTGAAACAGGATTAGAGGGGCGGTTTGGGAAAAACACTGATTTCTGTAATCAGATTTGAATTGCAATCTGTCTGCTTTTGCGTGGGGGTGGTGCATGGGAGGGAATGCCAGGAGGTGAAGTAGGGTTGGGTGAGTGCTTGCAGTCTCTGTGCGCTCCTCGTGCAGCGCTAACGCAGCATTTACTGCCTCAAACCCCCAAGGAAATAAGTAGGGATCAAGAGGCATGGAGGGAGGCTTTGGGTTAGTGGGCAGGGAGCCCTCTCCTTGCTTGCAGGAAGCTCTTTGCCTCGTTTCTTGTCCAAAGGGCTCCTTGTGGTTCCTCCAGGAACCGGGGAGTTACCAGGATGGCATGGGGCAGGAATCAGGGAATTATTGGACTGACATGGGGCATCCAGAGGGTTTCGTAGGGGTAATAATGCTGAAATGGCTTTGTCTGCAGGAAGTCTGTTCCTGGTTGATCTGCAGGCAAGGGAGTTGCCTCTGGGGCTGTGCTTCCAAGCCTCAGGATCTCCATACTGAGATGGGCTGATGGGTTCCCTTTTTCACAAAGCAGAATTAGGAGGGCTGTGCGTTTATCTGCCTGCAACACTCCTGTTCCTCCAGCACGCCTCGTGCGCACTGTGTGCTCCCACCAGCTCCTGCAAGTGCTGCTGCACGAAATGCCTCTGAGCTAATCGGGTGCCCAGGAACGCCAGCAATGCTTAAGAGCCTAAAATAAATACTCCTTGCCTAGCTCCTAGGGCAACCCTTTCCCCGTGCTGCCCGTTGCACTCCAGCCAGGGATTGCTCCTCAAACCTCACCTGACTCTTCATCCTCTTCCTTGTGCCCGCAGGGAGCCGCCGGCCGCAGCCCCCGCTGCTCTCAGCCCTTCTGGGGGAAAATGCACTGAGATGGGAGCTTGGCCAGAGCATGGCTGACAGCAACCTTTGCCTGGACTCCGATGGACTCCAACGCAGGACTGCATTACCATGGTGATGATCTTAACCAAAACTCGGGAAAACAAAGGTGCTGACTCTGTAACATGCAGGACTGAGCTGGTAAGCATCGCGGCGGTGCTCTTCACAACTCTGCTGCTGTTGCCATCGCTTTGCTGTGGCTTTAGGATGCTTTTTCACACTGCAGGGTTGGATCTTGAGGTGGTTTTCTCTCTAGTGCTGCACTGGTTGCTGCTGGGCTCGTTAATATCCAAAATGCGGGCGATGAGTAAATGATTGGAGTGCTGTGGCTGTTGCATATGTGCATCTCGGTGAGCACACAATAGAATAAACTGTGAATAACACGGGTTAGAAGTTGCTTTGCCCAGAGTGAACAGATGCTCATGATTATTAGGAGGATGAGCAAGTGGGGAGCAGGATTAAGTGGGAGATGGAGAGGACTGTTACCTAACAGTCCTGCTGGCAGCACAGAGGGATGCAAACCCAAACGCACCCAGTGAGCAGGTAACAGAAAAATTAGGGCAACAAATGATGCTGAAAGAGGCAGAATTATGGTGGGGTGGAGGGTGACACAGAGCTGTCTGGTAACAGCCAGGGGGGATGTTGGGGTTTTCACCCCTGTCCTGCAGGATGAATGGTCACAGTCTGGAAAGGAAGGAGGCAGAAAACTGTGCTGTGCAGGGAGACACAGATAAGGATGCTCAGGAAGCATCTGGCAGGATCAGCCATACATGGGCATTTGGAGCATAAAAGTGATGGTAATGCCCAAGTTCTCTGAGGATGGAGCACTCTGTGAGCTGGTTTCCTGGGCTGGTAGTGCAGGCTGCTGAGCACCCCAGGGTGTGGGTGGAGGGGTTCAGCTGCAGGAAGGAGAAGAGCAGGAGCTCTCATGTTGTGCGGGATGGGCTGCATAGCCACACCACCAAACTTTGCCCTCCCTTGTTTGCTGAGTGCCTGCCATGGTGCTAGTGCTGTGTCAACAGGGAGTAACTGTTCTGGTTATACAGTTTGCATTGCCAGGTTGTCCGGGCAGTTAAATTGAGGCAGATGTTCAGAAGAAGTCTGATCCAGCAAAGAGAGCAGCAGTTTTTATGTTGGCAGAGAGGGCAGAGAGTAAAACTCAAAGGCAATAAACGTCTGAGCAGCAGGCACCATCACCTGCTGGAGGGTGGTGGGCTTGCTGGCTGGTTTGTATCCCAACATGGTTAGGCTGAGCATTGTAAAATAGCAGTTGCACTCAATATGGGATGTGTGTTATTTGGAGATGTTCCTCTTCCTTCCTCGTTTGCAGGCATTCACTTTGGTCTCTGAACAAAGCCTGCTTTGTGGTAGGAACAGTGATGGGATGGTTAGACTGGATGATCTTTTTGATCCTTTCCAACCTTGTGATTCTATGATTCTATGCTGCTCTGGGGGCTGGCATGCAGATGTGTGCTGCTGTTCCTAGGGTTGTCCCATGTCTGCGTTTGTTCCACTTTGGCCACTCTTCAGAGACAGCTGCATGCCATCCTTGTCTCCTGATTCATTTTGCCTTCATCTTAATAAGATGGGGCCTGGCAGAAAGAGATCTCTTTATTTCACCTAAAAAGGTGGTCCAAAAAATGTAACCTACCGTTATTTCCCATCTCCTCATCTGCACAAACCCCTGCTTTCTGCCTCTGCATCCTTCTACGCCCAGTATTGGCAGCATACAAAGTGATTTCATTGGTTTGTCGGCAGTTGGTACAATCTTGTTTTCATTATTATTATTTGCAATGTATTAAAGAGGAATCAGGAGAGAAGGTGCAAATGCAGTGGCCTAATGGTGGATAAAACGCAACTATGGTGGTGCAGATGGATGTGGAGCTCAGATGAAGTAAGGCCTCGTTCAGATGGGATGGAATTGCCAGGACAGACGCTTCAGAAGCAGAATGTGGATGTTTTGTGGGATAACAAAAGGACGATCAGTATGAAAGTGTGTTTTTGCAGACATAGCTGAAATGGCATGTGGCTCCAGATGACATATTGATTTATTGTATATAAAACTGTCCATGCCCATTTTTAGAAGTCTGATGATTTGTCGCACACAGTCAAGAGGAAAATTCCTGGGGAAAAAAAAAAAAAGAGCATAAAAAGCCAACTGGGCTTATTTAGTGCCCATATAATGGCATTTTCCCCTATTTTTAGTGCATGTTGGCACCATCCAAGTGCAGAATCCTCAGAAAAAGTGCTGGGGTGCCTTAGAAACACGCTGTATGTTTAGGCAAAACACAAAGCAGCCCTGTGTCTAGATGGGAGGCCAGCATGAGCGTGGAAGGGCTTCAGCCTCTGCTGATTCACTACTGCTCAGCTCCCAGTTTGTGTTCTGCAGAGCTTCGGGTCCTGCCGGCAGGGACAGCTGCAGGACTGATCATTTGTAAGTTCAGGCCGTGACAGCAACTCTCCACATCGTGCAGTTAACCTCAGTTTGTCTGAGGGAGGATGGAAGGTGGATGATGTGCAGGCTGGGAGATGAGGCCGCACGCTTGGGGTCTGGCTGTGGATGCCCGAGCCGAGGATGTGGGCTGGGTGTTTTTTCTGACACATAGATTGAGCCTGCTGGAAGTGAATAGTTTCTCTGGTTGTTTTCAGCACACTCCAAAGATGAGTCAAGGACCTACCCTCTTCTCTTGTGGCATTATGGGTAAGTAGCAAAGCCTTCTGCCCGTATTTCTTTCATCTGCGCTCCTGGGTCCTTGGCAATGTGTGGGAAGACGTCCTCATCTTCTGCACCTCTCCTAAAAATGCTGCCCTGCAAAGCCTGGGATGCAGCCCACCCGTGCCCTGTGCCTTGGGGTTCAGTATTGCCCATCCCACTGCCCCCAGTATGGGAAGCCCCTGCCCAGGGGCGGTTTGCTGCCCCGCAGTGCTGAACGCATTGCTTGTCTCCTTCCCCACTGCTTTGTGTGCATCTTTGAAGTTATTCATGCAGTTGGGATCATAAGCATTTTGGCTCTTAGATTGTGTGTCTTGTGTGTTCGAGCATCCATCCCTCAACTACAGCTCTTGACTGTTTGCATGATAAGTTTTTCTGGTTGTTTTCAGCACACTCCAAAGTGTGCTGAAATGATAAATATCAGTATTATAACTAAAAATATTCTTCCTTTTGGCACAGTGTGTATGGACAGACCTCAGGCAACAACAAAAGTATCTTTTTTGCCTTTCACAATAACATAAGCTGTTATATATGATGTTTAACACCATTTTTGGCGTAGCTTGCTACCAACTATCTTGCTGAATGGCTAATGAAATTGATGGGGTTTTGGTGCATCAGCCCAGCATCTTGAAAAACAGTAATGCAGGAGGATGTGTCACTATACAGTGCTCTTTGGGTTTCGAAATGGGGAGCCAGTCCCTAGGCGAAGTCTCAAATGCCAATTAAAATTGTAGGTCAAATTTGAGCCAAGCTACTTGGTATGAAAGCCAATGCTTTGCAGACAAAGCAACTGCCCCTTTTCTTCGTGGACACAACTCTCATTAGCGTTAATGGGAGCTGAGCACATGCATTGAGAGGAGATATTTCCCAAGCTCTCCGATACTTGAGTTGTTTGGAGGAGGGGGGAAAAGATGGAAAATGTTTTGATATTTTTTTTTCAGATGAAAGTCACAAGCTTCAATGTCAAGAATGGGCAGAAACAGTCCGTCCCCTTTCTCCTGTCTGTCAAAAACGAGTAAGGAACAAAGAAATCCAATCAGATGGTTTTGTTTTGTGCCATGGCACTGGCAGGCTCTTCCACAAATATGAAGAGTCTAAGCCTAATTGAAAATCAGCTTGGTGTTAATAGCTTTTACAAAGCCGTTTGCGTCTTCCTAGCGCTGCGCTGGTCTTCCTTGGCTGCCAAATTATCCTGTTTCCAAGGGAACCTAATCTCACCTCCTTGACCGACAGCTTACCATGTAATTGTCTTTGTCATGCCCAGTCAAGAGGAGTGAGTCTCTGGGGTGCGAGAGAGCCCTGTTTGGTTTGTGCTTAATTTTAGGCATCTTTCCCAAACGCTCTTCTTGACGTCTTCAAACTTGGGCCACGACCACAAACCAACTCCGTGCTGACACTTGCTGATGCATTTTAAAAGAGTTGCAGGGTTATGATGGCGCTGAATGCGCAGTGGGTGAATATTTCAGGCTGAGAGCAAAAGCATGGAAATAAATGAATCTGGGAAGGTTGGAGTGGTCCCCAGCCAGCATCAGCATGGTCACGTAGCATATCCTGAGCAGAGCAAGGCCCGGGCACTGGGGGTTCTCACCACATCTCACCACATGTGGTGAGATAGCCAGGGATGCATATCTACGGGAGGGGTAGGAAGAAGCTGGCCAAGGCCCCAGCTGTGCACCCCATAACCAAGAAACCCAGCTAGCCTGGGCTGGCACATGCTTGTGTGCAGCGTAAGGTTGGTTTGAGTGTCACTTGCTTCCTGTCTAATGTGACTGCCAGAGCACTTGGGCTGACAATAGCAGAGGGGATGCCAGGTACAGGGGTTGTCCCCATTGCCCAAGCATGTATTTGTGTCCTCGGGCCAAACATGAAGAAGGCAAAACATGAACGTGGCGAATGCCTCAGTATGGCACGCCAGCAGCAGCACAAGGCACTCTGCTGATACCAGTGCAGGCAAAATGTCCTGAGAACCACTTTGAGTGGGAAAGGAGCACACTGACACCCACACCTTTTACATGTAAGCCTCTCATAAGGTATTGAAGTCTGAGAAGATCCGAAAATCAATTGCAACTTTTAAAAAACTGAGTATATTAGTAAGCTTTATTAAAGACTTGGTGTGTCAGATCCAGTATTTGCAATATTTGCTCCACTTCTCAAGGTGAGCTAAATATTTAGATTTATGTGTGGGATGATAGCAGTATTACTAAGAAGAACGTTGAATTCGTAGTTTTAGGCATTTCATCTTGATTCTTTTTCCCAGCAAAGGGCTATTTAGAGAAACAAAACCAGTTTCCTCTTTCCCTTCTCCTTGATGTGCCCTTAAAACACCTGGGAGTAAAGGAATTGTGCTGTTACCAGATGGAGATCTGTTTCCTTTTCTTGCCGTGCGTTCTCCACTGTGCACCCCTGTGAAGGTATCAGTGGCTGTGCTAGAGAAGGCAGCCAGCATTTTAGAAAGTTTGGGTATTATTTTTGGCTTGCTGCATTGAGAATTTTCTGTCTGTGGGTGGATGGTCGTGGAAGATTTACACTATTTTAACAATGCCCTGGTGATATTGCCTGATTCCTCTCTAAGCAGGTATGTAAGAAGCACTTGGCATCTCAATCAGTAGCAGCAAGCAGTACTCTTTTGCACCCCTCTGCAAGAAGCTTAGTGGATTTTAACAATAGCCACAGCCTCACATCCTCTGAGAGCAAGAAGTAATTTTTGACCTGACATCCCAACTGTTTAGTGGGCCAGGTGACTGCTGGTGAGAGAGAGGTGATGAGGGATGTTTTATTTTTACTGAAACTGTGTGGATTTTGCCCTTGTCATATGGCTATTGACACCAAGCACGCGCCACCTGGGCACATTCTCAGGCAGTAAGTATGGGCCTGTTGTTTGCATTTCCCATTGAAGCACAGCTCCACACATCTTTTTTTAATCTTAGTTGTGCCATGGGAAAGCAGGAGGGCTGTCAGGCTCCGTGGCGCTGCCATCAGCTAATTACAGCCATTGAATTTGTTCCACGTTTAGGAATCATCTCTTGAACGTAAACAGGGGGCAGTGGAAAATACAAACTGCCTTTCCATGCTGCACAGAGGGTGAGAGACCAACGTTCGACGCAAAGAACATGTGAAAAAGGGAACTGGATGCACACCCGAAGGAAGAGAAATGTTTGGGTTGGGATCCAAATGGAGTTCATCTGCCAAAAAGGAGGGGGAAAAAAAATTGATTGAAGCCCGTAATCACTTTACAAGTTTGCTGCAATAAATTATGTATGAATGTAAATTATTTCACAGGAAAAGAACGGAGAGGAAACTTGAGCAGAAGGATCATGCATTATGTCTAGAAAGCGGCCGTAAAAATATTGCAGCAGCACATTTGTGTCGTGGTAGTTAACGTTGTGTCAGCGTTTTGATTTGATGCCTTTCTCTGTGGTGAGGAGCCCGGGTGGTCAGGTTTTGGTGCCCAGATCTCGCTGTAAGGGCTGTGGTGGTTGCTTCAGGGCTTACTGAAGCTAAAGCATAGAGCGAGGGCATTGTCCAAACATCTCTTGAGCACTTACACACTTAGGAATCGGCAGAGAACAGCCAGCTCTCCTCTCAGCCTCCTCTTCTGCACACTGGACAACCGAAATGCCTTCAGCTTCTCCTTACAGAAGTGCCCTCCAGGTGTTACGTGCCCTTCTGGAGCTCATGGACAAGGGAGCTGGCAAGTTCTTGTGTGGCCAGTGCAAAATGTGGAGCTCAACGCATGGAAATGTGCCTACGGTGACCTGGATGCCTTCATCTGATGAGAGCTGCTTGTGCAGAGATCTTAGGGATGCTTTGAGGATGGTACCAGACCCCATGGGTGTGGAACAGAGCTTCTGAGAGCCTCGTGACCTGGACCTGTGTGCTTGTTTGATGTGATAGAGGTTACCCAGGGAAAAAGATGGATGTTCGAGGCTGTGTGCCAGGCATGTATGCTTGTGAGAGGAAACACCAGGATTTTGCTCCAGAGGAAGTTCAGAAGCAGAGGGCGTTGTTTTAAGCTTGATGCCTGATAAATTCATCCTTGTTTCATCGATGGGCATGTTCAGCAAGGGCCTGGAAGCATTTAGTTCTGCAGTTTCAAGTTAAAATCCATAAGTAAGAGGCCCAGGCTGTTTTATCTGAGGACACTGACCACCAAGAAGGACCCATTTAAGCAGGGAAGTGCCCCCACATGCTCTATCTACATCATGCCTTGGTTGTGAATGCCTTCCCATCGTTTTCTGATGGGCAAAGAGTGCTCTCCAGCAAAGCCATTTAGTTCTGAACTGAGGAGTTCTCATGATGGATTTTGCCCTGGAACAAATTGCTGCCTCTGGGTAAACCAAGCTGAGGTTTGTAATTTAAGAAACTTAATACATGCATAACCGCAGCAGTATTAATGATTCCACTGCAATTATTGTTATCAGTGCTCTCAGGATGTGAATCTTAGTCTTAAAAAGTTGAGCAGAAAAAGACTTTTTTTCCTCATAAGTGGCTCCCAAGTCTTTTAATTACACCCTCAATGCTTAGATGATCCCTGTTTTCAATTTGTTACTCTGTTAGCGTCACTTTGCTTCGGAAAAAGACCACATTCTAGGTTATTGTGGGGCTTTGCATGGGTGGTTTGTCCTGGGGGGCGACAGGGGAATGGAGCACCCCATGCATGAGCATCTCCTGGATGGCAGCTGCCCTGCCAGAGCCCCAGTTTCCTTCAGCACAAGCTGAGCACAAAGGAGGAAAGCAAACAATAACCCAAAGTTGTCGCTCGGGATAACAGTATGCTTGCAATTTTCTTTGTGATTTGTTTTTTGGGTTTTTTTTTTTTTTTTGAAGTTTTACAGCTGTTTGTGCAGAAGTAATGTCGAAAGAGGAAGGTATCCTGTATCCTCTTGAACAAGCTTACCAAGGCCCTTTTGTAAAACGTGATGTCTGGGCATGGGGGTCGTGGCAGCTTGCCATAAAAAATTAGCTTCTATTTCTGTTTCTTTTGTCTGGTGACCTGACCCGAGAAATCTCTTTGCTGGCAGCATAATAAGGGGGGAAAATAATAAAGATCTAAACATAGATGTAATTGTTTAGCACGGATTTCTCACTTCTCATCGTGCTTTTTGAAATGAGGACAGCAGCGGTTAAGGCACGGCGCGGTGCAGCGCAGGGCTGCTGGGGGATGGTGGTGTCCAGGCAGCTGCTGGCAAGGGGAAATGGGGAAAGGAGCCAAAAGGGGTTTATGGGGTATCAGCTTGCAGGGCCCCAGGTCTGACCTCCCAACTGGAAGCAGGCCCTGGTAGGAAGCGGTCTGTGCTGTGGCATCTTTCCTGCCATCAGGCTGTACCTGCAGCTGCAGGCTGGGCACGGCTTTGAGTTGATTGATCTAAATGGGAAAAAAAAAAAAAAAAACCAACCCAAAAAAACGCAAAAAACAACCCTAAAAAATACTGTACCATTTAGATATGATCACATGAAACTTTGCAGCGACGGTTAGCTAGCACGGTTTGCCTCCCAACAACAATAACAGTTACCAGAGAAGGTCTGTTGGGTGATGACTTTTTTCCATTGCAGCAGCCAGTGGTGCAGCCCTACCATGGTTTTCCTGTTGAGCATCAGCGGCGTGTTTGTACAGAGCCCTGCTGGCCCCAGCAGCCTGCGACAAGGAGCCCGGCCCTGATGGTCCTCCTTTCTTCTTTTATAGTTAGGGAACCATGTGTGTGAATGAGATCATCGTGCTTAATTCTCTTTTCACGTGGTCATCGCTGGGATCTCTGCATGCAGCTGCAGCCTGCTTTGCAGTTTCCCCGTGTCCCCATGGATATTAGGAAAAATTTCTCAGAAAGAGTGGTTATGCATTGCCACAGGCTGTCCAAGGAGGAGTGGGGTCACTGTCCATGGAGATGTTTCAGCTGTGGGGATGTGGCACTGAAGGATGTGGTCATTGGGCACGATGGGGGTAGGATGGCATTGGGCTTAGGGATCCTAAAGGTCTTTTCCAACCATCATGAATCTCTGGTTCTATGAAGTGGCTTTTGACCCATTGCTGTACACATTTTGAATGCAGTTAGAACCCGTTGACTTCGGAGCCACAAGTTTCTCAGAGCTTTGCGCAGATCCCCAAAGCCCATCTCATAAAATGAATGCCTTCACGCCATCCCCTGAAACCTGCAGGTTTGAAAGATCAGTGCAAAATGTGCAAAACTGGTGGGCACAGCAGCACGGGTGACTCGGGAGATTAGCATCTGGGCCAAAGCAGCAGGAAACCCCATTTTGGGGGTAAGAATGGGAGATGGGCATCTAACACAGTATCAGCCAGCATAGAGATTGTTATGTGCTCTAATTTCGGTTAGACATGGTGTCTTTGGGTAGCTGTTGGATATCAGGGGGAAGTTCTTTACTATGAGAGTGCTGAGGGGCTGGCACAGGGCTGCCCAGAGAGGCTGTGCATGCCCCATCTCTGGAGTTGTTCAAGGCTGGGTTGGATGGGGCCCTAGGCAGCCTGGGCTGGTATTCAATGTGGAGGTTGGTGGCCTTATCTGTGACAGGGAGGTTGGAGCTTCATGATCATTGAGGTCCATTCCAACCCATGCCATTCTATGATTCTATGGCTGTGGGAGAGGTGCTCAGAGCCTTAATGGGGATGAAGTTTTATTGACTTCAGTGGAGCAATGCTGTTTCAGCAGTCAGCAAGCAGGACAGCCCAGTGTGCATACGGCTTTGACATCCTGTAGGCTCTGATGTCCTGTCTGCATTTCTCTGCCCACAGTGGTGGCCACAACCTCTGCTGTGGCGAAGCCCCCAGGTCCATCTCAGCCCAGTGTTGCAGCAGCTTTGGGTTTGCAGCCCCGACTTTGAGTTTTTTGTGCACCTCTAAGGCAACCATGGCTTGTGGAGTCTGAGGAAAGCATCCAAGGCATGATCTACCCCAGAGATATGACAACGAAGTGTCATTTCGTAATGCAGGATGCCCCTTAGCCAGTGCAGTCTGGATATTCAAAGTCAAATTCCTATCATCTTCTAGCAGTTTTGCTCCTGCTGCAATTATCGCTTTGTCTCTCTCTCTCCATCTATGCCACAGCAACCATTGTGCTGGCGGTTCAGAAAACCATATTCCGAGCGTTAATTAATTTGTACTGCAAAACGTCCCATATGCTGCTCTTTGTTTATGCACGTGGAAAGCGAATCGCAGAATTAATTAACGCTAATGCCTGTGGGTGTGTGTGTGTTCTTATCATTTCTGAACCAGAAAATGACAGATGGGGAGACCTCAGCAGGAAATGTCCACTGCAGATCGAGCAGCCGGGCACCAGCATCTGGGACTGCCTGGCCGACAAGGGTGAGGAGGGCGCGCTGTGGCCACGGGAAGCCACCAGCACCTGCTCGGTGACCAACCTCATCAAAGAGCTCAGCCTCAGCGATCCTCACAGCAACCCATCGGCGCCGCCCAGCAAGCGCCAGTGCCGCTCGCTGTCTTTCTCGGATGAAATGTCCAGCTGCAGGACATCGTGGAGACCTTTGGGCTCCAAGGTCTGGACGCCGGTTGAGAAGAGGCGGTGTTACAGCGGGGGGAGCGTCCAGCGCTACTCCAACGGCTCGGCCACCATGCAGAGGAGCTCTAGCTTCAGCCTGCCGTCCCGCTCCCATCCTCTGGCTTCGTCCTGCGACCACCGTCCGGGCTGCCTGCCGAGGAGATCGGGGGCTGGAGGTGACGCCTGGAGCCCCGAGGGCGGCCGGGTGGACATGCAGCGCTCCCTGTCCTGCTCTCACGACCGCTTCTCCTCCTCGGAGCCCGGCCCGCCCTCGGCCAGCAGCACGCCGGCCTCCACACCGCAGCTGGGCCGCCGTGCCGGTGGGCTGTGCCGCAGCCGCTCGCAGCCCTGTGTCCTCAATGACAAGAAGGTGGGCGTCAAGCGGCGCCGGCCCCAGGATGCACAGGAGCCGCGGCCCTCGCTGGACCTGGCCAAGATGACCCAGGTAAGGCTGGGAGCTGGGCATGGCCTCCCTCTTCCTGTGCCATGTGCGGTGGCGGGGATCCGGCTCACGCTGCGCCCCAGCAGCAGGCTCAGAGCTTTGTACCTATAGCAGCTGCACTTTTGTTCCAAGCAGTGGTTTGCTCCATCTGTGCAACATTGGTGTCCCAGTGTTGTTCGTAACACTGCATCAGGTGAGGCTAAGAAACATCCTGGTGTTTTCACTCCTCATCATCCTGAGCTATAAACACGTTTGTTCCCCCCTCAGGGATGTGATACTTGATGGCATTTCATGCCTGGCAGCTCAACGGGTGTTCAAATGAGCTCATTTGTGCTGGAGGATGTGATTAGTTTTTCCTCCTCCAGAAGAGCTTAACAGATAAAAGGAGTCAGAGAATGACGTGTTGGGGTGATTGCGGAGGACAATGCATGGCACTGCAATCATCTTTTGATAAACCATGCCAGTAACATTTAATATGCTGAGCTTATTTCATTAGCTAATAAGCTGGACGGGCAGTGAAAACAACTGACACTTGTTACTGCCTTTTACTAGCTACAATTGGCATGACTGAAGGCCCTCTCATTTCCTTGCGTTGGTGGAAACGTTTCTAAAACACACCCAGCACAGCACTGTGGTTGGCAGCAGGCTGGCTCTGAACGCTTTGTTCTATCCATCAAGTTCTCACCGTGGACGAGGAGATAGAATGCAGTTTAGCCATCTACTTTTTGTCGTGCCTCCCCCGCTCTAGTTCTCTCCCAGTGAGCAGCCACTTGTTGCTTCACCTGTAGTGCAGGGCAGAATCTCCTACAGGCCAGGGTGGGAGTTTGTGCAGCGTTGGACATGTTCAAGGTATCTTGCCATTGGAGCTGCTCACCTTCAAGGGGAGCTGACAGCGCTTGTTAGCGGAGGGATGTTCACAAGACCTTTCAGGATTAGACCAAAGTGTTGAATGAGTTGTGAAGGCCAATGAGCTGATGGATTACTGCACGTGTGCCCCATCTGCATTTGCTGGAGTAGTTGGTGGTGAACAAAGGGAAGAGATAAAAGACACTGTACTATTTTTATTCCCAGAGCTATTTTGAGAGCCCACACGGTGGTTACCATCACAGTGATGCTTGTGCTGGGCTGAGATGAGTGAGAAATGGTTTCGGCAGTGCGGAGGGGAACCAACTGCAGGTTCAGGTATTGGTAGGAGGAATACAGACAAGCAGAAGGGAGTAGAACTCACAGAACGTGCCAGTCCTGTTGCAGTTTTCCTGGGGATGAGTGCTTTGGGCTTTTGAAGTCAATGCAGAGCAGGCTGTGCTGAATAGTGTGAACCATCCTCTTCAGGTCACAGCCATGGCGGGCTTCAATCTCTCCTTAAAGCAACAAATGAGTTTATTTTCATAGAATACACCACGTTGGCATGAACCCACAAGGACCATCATGTCCAACCCCCAGCCCCACACAAGGCCACCCAAACCCAATGTCTGAGAGTGTCCCATCACTCCCTTTTCCCGATATCCAACCTGAACCTCTCCTGACAGTTGATAAATAACCTGAAACTGAACCTCCCCTGAAATCTTTGAAAATGCCTATGATGCAATTATTATTTTTCCCAAAGGCTCTTGATGATTTTCTGCTCTTTAATTGCCAACATTTGCAAATGAACGGCTGGGGAGAGTGGCAGGTGGAGAGGCACTCCCAAAAACATCCATCCTGCCCTCCTACTGGCAGACCAACCAAGGGCTCAGGGCATCATCTGCAGGTCTTGGTGGTGCCAGCCCTGCCCAGGTTTTAAAAGAAGTGCTATGACATCTAACAAATCCCAGCCTGGCAGCTAGGCTTGTGAGCCACACCAGGGTATATGCCCAAATTAGGACCCACAAGAATCTAAGATGCACTCTTGGAGGATGGCAGACCTTGGTGCCTGCTGGCTGCAGTGCTAAGGCTGCATGAAAGACTTGGAGCCCACTGCAACCCTCTCCAGACCATGGGGAGCTGGGCCACCGGCTGCCACAGGCTGTGGTTGCATTTGCTCATCCTGCAGGCGTGGCTGCAAAAGTGAAACAAAAAAAGAGAAATGGGGACTGCATGGACAGAGGGTTGTGGTTATGAAATAATGCAGATGCTATAAGCAGCCATATGTCACCGTACTGAATGTGTTTGGTAATGGAATTGCCACAGAAAGGATGCTGATAGTGCCACAGCAGCTGTTTGGTAAGTGAGGGGCTGTGAGAGGAGCAGAGGGGGAGCAGCTGTTCCCTTCCTGCAGGAAAAACCACGGGAAATGCCCCTATGTGGTCCCAACACGTAGACCAGTGGGAGCTGGGATGCTTGGAGTGAAGCTGAAGAGCAGTCTGAGCTCCGAGCAGAGGATGTCAGGGGTGTCCCTGGGTGCTGAATGGTGCTCATAGGCCTTTGCCCAAAGGTGTCACATGTGCGTGTCACATTTCCCTTGCACTGGATGTGCCTGAAGTTGCTGGACTCCAACTGCAGAGTTAACTCATCAAATTGTTCTGGGAGGCCTTAGGGCAGAGCGAGCTTCTCTGTCGGCTTAACCAAGGTGGGTGTTTGTCAGCTGGGAAGCAAAGCAGTGGAGGCCTTGTGCAGGGTGACTCCGGCTGAGCCTGCGGAGCTTCCCTTTCCCTCTGGACACCAAGCCTGGGTGCACGTATAATTTGTGTAGCCTTGGCTTTGGACTCAAGCAAGGGCCCAAAGAATGACAAAAATCAGATCACTCACTGCTCAGTGCAGCTCGGTTCCTTGAAAACCTCAACCATAAGGAGTAGCTGTATTTTCTCTGGCTCCTGTACTCTACCTCAAAACATCCTCCAAGCCTGAAAAGCACTGCCTGCATGACCTGCATTACCCAGCTGCCCTCCGGCACCAGAGCAGAGGAGTGCTGCTGCCAGGACGGCTCACGCTGCTCAAGCAGCGATGCCATCAAGGAAGGAAGCCCCCGTGCTGGTGGCACCTCCTCCCTACCCGTCGGTGCCAGCTCTGGGGCCAGGCTGCTGCTGGCTGCCTCCCATGTGTTGCTAGCACAAACAAACAACGTGGCCATCACCACAGAGCCCAAGGAGCTGGCCCTGTGCCTGTCCTCATGGAGCAGGTTTGACCCACGCAGGGCTGGCTGCTGAGTTGGAGGAAGCGGGGCTGCAGCTCTGCATCGGTTGCAAAAGCAGACTTAGGAAAAAGCAGTTCTGGGGGCTGTGCAAAGGATGGGGTTTTCCTCATTGCTTAGTTGGGGTATGGAAAGCTTTTCACCCAAAAGCTGTCTCCACGTGGGAGGACTGGCAGGGAGCAAGATGAGGCAGGTTATGGTGAGCATTCTTGCTTTTGGTGGGGCCGGATTTTGGGGTGTGAGGCACTGTGTGGGAGCCCTCCTCAAGAAGGGAATGTCACAGAAACCAACTGGTTCCTCTTGGGAGACACTGTGGTCAGTGTGCTTGAGAAAGCCACGCAGATTTGGGTGTTGGGATCAGTGTTCCCATAGGCAGCTTTTAATGACTGTCAGGCAATGAAAGTGGTTGGATGATTTGAGATGAAGAGCAGAAAAAATGGCAAGGGTCCACGTTGCTGCACGTTTTCTCTTCTCTGGCCTTAGGGGAGGTAGAAATGGCTTATAGGCATTCATTTCACACCTGGGGAAACTGAGTCCCACCAGCAGAGTCAGGGACCGAGCCTGGCTCCCAGATCAGCATCCGACTCTGGCAGCGCATCAGTTAATTCTTTGCTCGTGCTGGTAACCACATGTGTTTACAGGCCATAAACCCGGCACCATAATCAAAATAAGAATAATTTGACCTGAAATAAATGCTTTCTTCATACCAAGAGGGATACCTGGGCCAGGCAGGAGGCTTTGAGGCAGGAGGCTTTGAGGCAGGAGGGGAGTGAGCTGCTCCTGGAAGCAATTACATGGCCACATAGCTGGGCTAATTAAGAAAGGGATCTAAATGTTAAAGTTCTTCTGGGAGGGAAAATGCTTGGAAAAAACATTGCCTTTAATTCCTCAAAGCCCTCATTGCCTGTTTTTGTCTATTTTTTCTGCATTTTCCTTAGAGAGGTGGACTCACGCTGCTCATGTACTGGTACAGCACCAAATCAGAAAGGCATCAGCGTTGGGCAGATACCAGACCCTGAAAATCACTGTCCTTGAAACACCCTTTTTGATACAAAATGGTCAGAATCATGTTTTTCCATGGGCGGCGTGGTTTCTCCAGCACCTTTTCTCAAAGCCTTGGGTGGGTGCAATAGAAGATGCAGGAGATGGGTGACGTTGCAGGGTCTTGTGGGCTGGCGGATGGGCAGGATTTGGGGCAGTACTGCAGAGCTTCACTGCAGCGCAGACGTTGATTCATGCTGTGCCATTTGACTCATCCACAGAGCGCCGAGCCAGGGGCCGGCCCTGGTGTTGCCGTATGTGCTGAGCAGATTGCTTTCCTTCACACAGGCTCTGGAGAGCGGCAAGGGAGACGAAACACGTCTGTCACAGCAATCGCGGCGGCCCTGGATCAGCATCTGAAATCATCTTTAGTAATGGCAGAATGGGTCCTTGCTGTCTCTTGCCCGTTCTGCTTCCTGCTTTGTAAGATGTTGATACGGCTGTTGGTACGAGATGTGAATTTGTGTTAGCACGTTTCCAAACGCAGCTATCCTTTTTAAAGCTGTTGGTGGTTGGTTTTTTTTTCCAAGTGGCGCATGTATATATGTATTTGTTTAGCTCTCCCTGCAGCACGCAGCCCTGGCCTGAAGGCAGGGATGGCCACATGTCCAGGGCAACATGCATGGGAAGATGGACATCTTCCTGGTACGTGCCTTGACACCTCTGTGACAACAGCAGTCAGATGCAGTAATAGCTGTTCCTGGAGGGGGCACAGGGGAAACCTTATTGCTCTCTACAACTCCCTGAAAGGAGGTTGGGGTGAGGAGGGCGTTGGAAGGACCTTGTTCCCGAAGCTGCTTGTCCTGGAGGGGTGCTGGTGTGTTCGTGCCACGTACAATGGGGCTATTCACAG